TTTACATTTTGGCATGCGTTTAGATTGGTGTCTACAAAACTCATCTACCAAAAACATAGCATCGTTTTTTTTCACCTTTCACTTTGTTGATATGCAAGTTGGATAAGGTAAACGGTAAACCTAAGGTAGTTGAAACTATCTCAGCGGCTAACAAAATAAATAATACTTAGAAATCAGTAAAAAAAAAAGTCAGTGAAAAAACTATCTTAGCCACTAACAAAAGAAATACTCTTTCTAAAAGATGATTTTTCTAGGAATAAAAATTTGTTTCAAAAAGATTATTGTTTTAAGTTATCAATGGATTATTAATTAGAATTTACAAATTTCAAGGTAAATAACTAAATACTATTGATTTAGAATTTTAAAAAACTGTGAGTCACAAAAAAATAATGCAACTATTAAATGTTTTCTTAATATGTGTGAAAACCTAGAAAAATAATCTTTTAGGAACAAAGGAAGTAGTTCGAAATCGGTATAAACTTTATGGTTGAAAAACAGCCAAATTGATTAAATGCTAAACAAATTTATATATAAATTATGTATATAAAACAACTAAATATAACATAGTAAATACAAACTATCACATTTTTTTACAATCCTTAAGAGAAAAATTTATATTAAAGTAAAATAGGTTAGAAATCAGTTAAAAAATCATGGTAAAAACAGTTTAATTGATTAGCTGATAAAATACAATAATGATTATAATAAATGGTTGAATTGTAATATTAACTAGGAATAAATAACTTTTAAAACTCTTCTTAAGATGCAATTTTTTTTAATTAAAAGAAAAAACGTCTTAATTATAACCATCTTTTTTTAAGTAGGCAGTTCAAAAAGAAATAATAGTATAGTATATTTTATTCTCATTATCTTGTCTCTCAAACATAATGTAAATTATATACTCTTGTGTGCATATTTTATCATAAAATTTGAGAAAACTTCAGATATTTTCATGCAATTTCATAATTTATATAGAGAACGGTAATTTTTTTGGCCAATAGATTTTGAGCTCCACATATCATAAAAAATGTAGTAGGTTTTTATCATTGCAAATTGCAAAACGTTCACACTTGGAAGAGACTTTTGTGGAGAAAACAATGAAGACAAGATTATAAATATCTCTCTACGACTCTACTCAATTCAATAATGACTCAAATTCATTATATGTGTTTTTTGTTAACGGAACCGACGAGTGGTACTTGAAAGTTTCTAAATACGTATAACTCTAATTTATAGATATCCACGAGTACACATGAAACCAAAATATAATGAATTCATCATACAATACAAAATGATGTGAAAATCAATAATGTAGTGGTCCCTTATCGATTCTAGGGTTTTGCTTTATGCTTCGAAATGAAAAATAAAGTTTGAATTTTGGTAATTGGGCACCATGTTCATGTGCCAAGTGCCAACTAGTTCACAGCTAGTCCCTCACCACAATAATAAAAGAGTGAGGACTGTATAAAAATGCATCATGTATGTTTAAAGTAAATATAAGTTTTTGAAAAAAAAAATCTATAAATTCTAATTTTTGCATACAGTTTGTTCAGTGATTCGGATTTTTTTTTTCATAATTTTCATTCTAAAAATTGTAATGCGATTTGCTTGGCTCATAATTTTAAATGTGTAAGGTACTACTAATGTTGTATATGCTTATCATTTCTAGTGAAAGGGTTCATATTCCCAAAACTTTTCATAATGTTATTTTGGAGATTTCTCTTTGTTTCATAAAGAGTGTTACTTTAAATTTACTCTTAACCCAAATTAACCTCATATATATTTATTAAATTTACATGTATAGTTTAATATTTGGTTCTTAATTTGTGTACAATAATGTGAAACTGAATGAGTATTTTTTTAATAAAAAAGTTGAGTTTACAATGATTTGACAAACCACTGGTACAAATAATTGCATATATTATATATGATTGGTAGGCAATTCTAGAAGGAAAAAATTATGACAAAGGAAAATGAGAAGAAAAAAAAGACAAGATAACTTTATTTTGTCATTTATATAAGAAAAGATGAAAGTACATTTTGCATGCCTGTGATATTGAATAAGTGGAGAATTTTAGTTATTGAACATATTTGTACAAACTCCCAAAAAATAACATGATTATGGAAATTTAATGATTAAAAATAGACCCTAATCTAATATATAAAGAAACCATTATAATTATAATACAGATTAGGTTTTATAAGTACAGACAAAAGCTGGATTACGAAAGTCAAACCTCTCCTTTAAAGCTTTTGCTGTCTCCAATTCTTAAATTTTATTTTTCTAATTCTTTTTTCGTCCATTTTGTTTGATTACTTACTGTGAAAATTATTATTTAAAATCAAGAGTAAATAATATTTGAGATTGGGAGAAACATAAGCCTCCAAAACTGTTATAAAAGACTTAATACAATAAAAAAAAGAAATGTTTTGTTAAATATTACCAAAATTGTGTTATATACTTATATGATAAAAGATTATCTTTCTTTGCTTTTTTTTTTTTGTTTTTGTTAAATATTTTCGTGAAAAATATATGATGAAAGATGCTCTTTGGTTACATGTGACTTTACCGCCATGTAAATCCAAATCATACGATTCTTTGTTTTTTTTTTCGTTTTTCTTTTTGGCATACTATCATATAAATGTCGGTCACATTATATATTCACGGACAATTTTACATGCACGATTGCATATTTTCTTTCTTTCTTGTGCTTACTAATTAAGTCTTTTGGTTAATAAAACAAACTAATATGATTTAGTATGATTGATTTGGTTTATGTAGAGCCATTTTCCCATCCATATGTAACATGGTCACTTCCAAGTACCGACTTAAAAAAATTGGAGTCGAACGTACGTAAGTGGAAGTTTACAAAGATGGTTTTGTGGTCCTTGTGGACCATTGATACGAAAATATAAATAAGAAATACAAATTGTTTATTACAAAAACAAAATTACAATAATTATAATGCTAAGAAACTAGTTACAACTAGATCTCATTATGCTAAGAAACTAGCATTATATAGTTATAATGGCACGATGGTTTGGCATAGTTACATGTAACTTTGACGGACCAACAACAAAATTGTAAGCAGTCTCCAAAGCTCTACGGAAAGAACCACTCTTAACCCCAATTTGGTTGCAGTGCAATACCTATTTTCTTAAAGTTACTAGTAGTAACACAAGACTCTCAAAAACTATTATTAACGATAAATTATTTACACGTTAAACTTACTCAACATATCAAAAATTCAGAATCCAAATAATGCTATTAATTAAAGTAGGTTTCATATTCTTTTCTTATATGAAAGCAGTTTCCAAATTTAATATTTAGAGTGTGACCACAATTGTTGTAGTGTTTTAATTATCTGTTTATTTACCTCAAAACTAGGTTTGGATCCGCGCTACAACGCGGGGGAAATAATTACTTATATATAATGTTTAACGGAATTTTTAAAATAATTTATTGAACCTTTTACCAAAAAAAAAAATTAACGGATTAAATTATATTACATTTTAATTTTATTACAGTGCAGTCGATTACATTGAATCATATATTTGTATAATAAGTTTAAATAAAATAATAAAGAAAAAAGCGAGTAAATAATGATATATTGAGTTTTGATACAATTAAAAAAAAAGTGAAAATTTAACAGCACAAAAGAATATTCATCGATAAATTGTTCAATTTGACCATTTTTGTAATAGAAGTAGGAATAGATGTAAAAATTACACACTTACATTATATTTTTTGAAGAACCAATCCGTAACAGAATTCATATCGTAAAAACATTATTCATAATTCGCTTTACCATTATAATTGTGATTTTAACAAACTACCCGGGGACTATCTAAAATTTACGTAGTTTGATATATAATATTTTATCAATAAAAATCATGTCTCCAAATTTACATCTATGTCTCAAAACAAATATTTTAAATATGCTTATGTAACATTGGTTTTAATATTGGTCATACTTATAATAATTTTAAATCATTGTCCAAAATATTTAACCGAGTGTAATTGAGTATTATATGTCCGTTTTGAAAAATTTAAATTGCAGCATATGCAAAAAAAAAGTTAAAATTTTTTGAAACATTTTTATTATTTAGTATAATATCAGAAATTAAAAAAAATCAAATAAAAGTGAAAGAAGAATAATAATTGTTCTTAATATATTATATTAAATTAGTTAGATAAATATTAGGAAATTCTAAAATTAGTTATGAAAATAATATAATCATAAAATTAAATATGGATAGTATCCGATGTATGTATCCAAACTCATTTTAATATCCAATTTTGAAGTATCCAATTGTTAAAATCGGGTTAATTTTTTACTCTTAACCCGACCCGCATTTTATTTTGTACTTCTCTTTTACTAATATAGAAATCGTAATAAGGCTATAAGCCTATAATAGTCAATTCACGTGATGGTCTATTTCCATGCATTTCCCACCGACCTAAGCTTCCTTTTATTTTTTTAGGTTCTTTTAAAATGAATTATGTTCATTTACTTTACCTTATTTGTTACTCATAAAAAAAATTGTATGATAAATCATAAATGTATTATATATCCAAATAATACAATATCAAAATAAAAATATATATTTAATATAACTGTTTTTATACATATTTTTATAAATTTATTTTCTTTATAATATTGATAACCATTTCTCCTTAGTAATTTAGTATGATTATTAATATTACGCAATGAAGATTTTTATTATAAATAGAAAATAATAAATTAAAGAAAGAATAAGTATATTATTAAAACACATTAGAAATATAATAAAACTGAAACAAAGTAAGATACATTATACAAAAAAAAATATCTTAAAAAACAAAGTATACAATATTGATCATACATAACAATTTTTTTTTTTTATAAAACAATTATCATTATGTAAATGGGTTTCTCATAAAAGTGTGTACAATTCTTCCAACATTTTTTTTTCCCTCGACTTACAAAACAAAAAACATTATTCAACAGAAATAATTTGCAATAGTATTATAAAACCAATATTTTTTGTTTTTATAAAAAATAAAAAAATATATTTGTGGTAATATATATAGGAGTGAGGAGGATGAGGAGATTGTTTGTCTACTCTGTCCGTGTCTTTCAAATTATAAACCAAAATAAATTAAATTTTTTAAAAGTGTCGGTGAATTCCAAATCTTTGTCTTCTTTCTTCTCTTCTCTTATGTAACCGTTTCAGTTTCGCCGTCAAATTTCCAAAATCTCTCTGTTTCAGTTTCGATTCTTCCACAAAACCAGATCGGCTTGATGATTTTGTAAAACAACTCAGCGGTTATTATATATGGAGACGGGAGCGGCGGTTACGGCGACGGTTACGGCGGCGACGATGGGGATAGGGACGAGGAAGAGAGATCTGAAACCTTACAAAGGAATAAGAATGAGAAAATGGGGCAAATGGGTGGCGGAGATACGCGAACCGAATAAAAGGTCGAGGATCTGGTTAGGTTCTTACTCGACTCCCGAAGCTGCGGCGAGAGCTTACGACACAGCTGTATTTTACCTCCGTGGTCCTTCTGCTCGTGTTAATTTCCCGGAGCTTTTGGCTGGACTAGGCGGAGGAAGAAGTAGTGGTGGAGATATGACGGCGGCGTATATAAGGAGAAAAGCGGCGGAGGTTGGTGCTCAGGTAGATGCGCTTGGTGCGACGGTGGTGGTTAGATCAGGAGGTGATTACGAGGATTGTCGTGGTGGTGGTAACGGGTTATTGGATCGGGTTGATTTAAATAAATTACCCGACCCGGAAAATTCGGATGATGATGACGTGTGGGTGAAGAGGAGATAGAGAGAGCAAAGCAAATTATTATAATATTAAAAAGAAAAAAAAAGGTAGTTGTAGAAGAGAATGTTTTTTTTTTGTGTTTTATCATGCGCTGTGTTGTCGCTAACATGCGCGTATCCATGGGGTTTTGGGTTTTGATTTTGATCATGGAAGATTTTATAATTAAACTCAAACTCTTACTTATAATTTGTCACTTAACTACTACAAAAATAGATTTGCGTGATCTTAATTAGTATTTTTTTTTTTGCGAATAAAAACGATGTATTATTCAAATTTGTATCCTTAATGACAACGTAATTCGAATTTATTTGTAAACAAGTTTGTATTGTAACGTATTTACAAGACTTCATTCTTGAAATGTTTCTCCTAATTTCAAATAATATCATGCACAATAATTGCAATGCAATTCTAATAGTAACGAAAAATATATATGACTATATGTAGATTATATTTTAGAAATATGCTCTACGGTTTTGTTTCCAAAATAAATATTATCTTTTTGGTTTTCACCGTATCGATTATTACTTTTCGAAATGTTACTTATCTTGAAATTGAGTTATTATAAATATGTTCAACGGTAAAGTTCTTTCAAATTTATTAACAGTAAAAATAAGTGCACTCTGAAGCCTTCGTTTGCGCCCCATATAAAATACATGGTAATTGAATAGTTTTATGAATCGAGCATAGTCAAAAAAGAAAAAAAAATTGAGTCTACATATCAAAAAGCTAAAGATGCAAAAAAAAAAAGAAAAAAAAATCTCAATCGGGAAAATAATTCTGATGGAAACTGATGTGTTTTAAATTTTAAAAGTAGAATTACATAAAACACTCAACTTGTGGAGGTTGGTGCCTTAACAACTAAAGCTCTGAAATTATCGTAACCACTAAAAGTGATGTGATTGTGATGTGTTCTTTTTTTTTTTTTTGTGAGGCAAAGATCGATCAACTTACTCATTCGGTTTTCAGGGGCAGTTCTGGTCGGCAAGATTCTTCGGTGATTCTGATATATTTGTGTTTACTTTACTATAGTCGGCAAAATGTTGAAACGTACACACACATTGGCAAAATGTTGAAACGTGAAAAGTGAGGAACCGTTTTTGTACATAGCAAATGGATGATGTGTGAGTCTAAAGATTGAACTTGTGACCACAAAAGAGAAACACACACAAAAGATTTCGGACACACAACATAACACAAGACAGAGACTTTTTTTTTTCTTTCTCAGACATGTTTTGCGTGATCCCACCAACACTAGTACTTTCAGCAAAGACAAAAAAAAAAAAAAAAGAAGACGAGTTAAAAAAAAAAAGTAATAACTGAAAGTGAAATTTCGGTTTATGAGTTTTCTTATTGACTCTAAAAATAATTCAAACGTAAGATTCTTATGTCTCATGATGAGCCTTTGACGTTGTGATTGAACTTGAATTAAAATGAGAGAACAATTTTGTTTTCACCTTCATTCATTGTACAAGTGGATAAAATAGTAAAAAACTAAAGAGTAATTGCACCAAATTAGATGCAAAATACTATTTATAATTCCTACTTCTGGAATTAGGACACCATGTTATCAAAATAAAAATAACATAGTTTTGATTGGTAACTTCAAACTAGAGCGGTAAACTTTTACAAAATAGTGGAAAACTGTAAAAAAAAACGGTACATAGGCCGTGTACCGGAAACTAAAAAACAAAGCCTTGTTTCGTTCTTCATCCTTTTTTATCTCTCATATTTTCTGTCGCACAATTTTAATAACATGATTTAAAAATCGCTGGGATTATTAGGGACACCATACATGCCTTATTATGAAGTTGCGACAATCGCATGACAGATTACAAGCCATTGAAGAAGCTTCGTGAAGAAGATGAATCTGAAATTTTAATTTAGAAAGTTTAATTTTAATTAAAATTATAAAATTACACCTATGCCCTTTAAATTTGTTCAAAATTACAATTCATATACCTGTTTTAAAAAGAATCGCATGTAAAATCGCACGATTGCAGAAGAAACATGGCCATAATGTGCCTCTAATATTTGTTAGTGTTCACAATCTTGTTTGCGTTTTTACGTGTGTATGTGTGTTTATATTTAGGATTTTGTAGTGTTGTTTGTGTTACTTTGGTGTATATGCGTTATGACCTTCGTGAATATGTGTTTGTTTAGTCTCTGACCTTCCTGTATTGCTTTTGTAATTTTTTTAGTGTATGACCTTCATGTATATGCGTTTATGTTTTGACCTTCGTAAATATGTGTTTATGTTTTCATTTGGTGTATTACCTTGGTGTATATGCATTTATGTTTTCGTTTAGTCTCTGATCTTCGTGTATATGCGTTTATGTTTTTGTTTAGTGTATGATCTACGTGTATATGGGTTTACGTTTTTGTTTAGTGTATGACTTTCGTGAATATGCGTTTATGTTTTCGTTTAGTGTATGGCCTTCGTGAATATGCGTTTATGTTTCCGTTTAGTGTATGAATTTCGTGTATGTGCGTTTATGTTTTCGTTTATTGTATGATTTTCGTGTATGTGCAATTATGTTTTATTAGTCTTATAAAGAGAAGGGTTTCGTGTATGTGCGTTTATGTTTTTGTTAGTGTATGATTTTCGAGTGTGTGCGTTTATGTTTTTTTAGTCTTATAAAGAGAAGGGTTTCGCGTATGTGCGTTTATGTTTTCGTTTAGTGTATGATTTTTGTGTATGTGCGTTTATGTTTTATTAGTCTTATAAAGAGAAGGGTTTCATATATGTGCGTTTATGTTTTTGTTTAGTCTTTGACTTACATGTATATGTGTCAATATTTTTGTTTAGTGTATGACCTTTGTGTATATGCGTTTATGTTTTCGGTTAGTGTATGGCCTTCATGTATATGCGTTTATGTTTTCGTTTAGTCTTTGACTTTCGTGTATATACATTTATGTTTTCGTTTAGTGTACGACCTCCGTATATATGCGTTTATGTTTTCGGTTAGTGTATGACCTTCGTGTATATGCGTTTATGTTTTCGTTTAGTGTATGAATTCCGTGTATATGCGTTTATGTTTTCAGTTAGTGTATGAGCTTCGTGTATATGCGTTTATGTTTTCGTTTAGTGTATGCCTTCGTGTATATGCGTTTATGTTTTCGTTTAGTGTATGACTTTCGCGTATATGCGTTTATGTTTTTGTTTAAAGTATGGCCTTCGTGTATATGCGTTTATGTTTTCATTTAGTGTATGGCCTTCGCGAATATGCGTTTATGTTTTATAAAGAGAAGGGTTTTGTGTATGTGCGTTTATGTTTTCGTTTAGTGTATGATTTTCGTGTATGTGCGTTTATGTTTTATTAGCCTTATAAAGAGAAGGGTTTCGTGAATGTTTGTTTATGTTTTATTAGTTTTATAAAGAGAAGGATTTCGTGTAAGTGCGTTTATGTTTTCGTTTAGTGTATGCCTTCGTGTATATGCGTTTATGTTTTCGTTTAGTGTATGACTTTCGCGTATATGCGTTTATGTTTTTGTTTAAAGTATGGCCTTCGTGTATATGCGTTTATGTTTTCATTTAGTGTATGGCCTTCGCGAATATGCGTTTATGTTTCCATTTAGTGTATGACCTTCGTGTATGTGCGTTTATGTTTTCGTTTAGTGTATGATTTTCGTGTATGTGCGTTTATGTTTTATTAGTATTATAAAGAGAAGGGTTTTGTGTATGTGCGTTTATGTTTTCGTTTAGTGTATGATTTTCGTGTATGTGCGTTTATGTTTTATTAGCCTTATAAAGAGAAGGGTTTCGTGAATGTTTGTTTATGTTTTATTAGTTTTATAAAGAGAAGGATTTCGTGTAAGTGCGTTTATGTTTTCGTTTAGTGTATAATTTTCGTGTATGTGCGTTTATGTTTTATTAGTCTTATAAAGAGAAGGGTTTCGTGAATGTTTGTTTATGTTTTATTAGTTTTATAAAGCGAAGGGGTAAGTACGTTTATGTTTTTGTTTAGTGTATGATTTTTGTTTATGTGCGTTTATGTTTTATTAGTCTTATAAAGAGAAGGGTTTCGTGTATGTGCGTTTATGTTTTCGTTTAGTATATGATTTTCGTGTATATGCGTTTATGTTTTATTAGTCTTATAAAGAGAAGAAAGACCAAACATTTGCTTTTGAGAATCTCCTATCATGCCTCTGATAAAAGAATCACAGTTATGTAAAGGTTAGAAAAAAATCTTAAGAAGAAATTGTTTATAGGCAATACCTTTGGTTTCAGAGGTCTTGCAAATGGATGACAAAAGTCACTAGTCTCTTAGCGTCGTGTGGACTTAGGGAGATGATAACTCTGGTGCCTGCAAGTTTCTTACAAACCCTTGATGAGTAAAACCAATAAGAAAACATACGATGAGATACAATACGAAATACAATTTCATTAAGGAGAAACAAATTTTACCTCATCAAAATTGGCTGAATTTCCTGGAATTAAGAATCAGACAATATTGCCTAACACAAGAATTAATACGCAAGCAAAAACACTATGATATTGAAAGCATAGAGAAAGAACATGTACCTTAGACAAATCTGTTGAATTCATTCTTGAAAAATCATTCATGGTCATATGACTGCCACCAAAAATGCCCTGATTTGAGAACATATCATATGTTAAACAACGAATCTTTTCAGATAAATGGTGCCAAAGACATTGATATAAACACTAATGTGTATTAAGCCACAACGACATTTAATCTAAGCGGTAACTACTAACTACCCATAAGTGTGCATCATCTTAAGTCCTACAATTGATATAAACACTTATGTATAAGGCATCACGAAATTGATATCAAGCCAGATAGAGGCATATACATGATGTTGATAAATCTCATGACTACCACCCTAGCATATGAACTTGATGAACCATCTGGGAATCACATGTCTTGATGACTTTTTTTCCACAAAATCTAAGAAAACATTACAAACAACAATCATTTGGTCTCTCACACCAGCCATAGACTAACTCATGCTACAACTACAAAAGTTTAACAGAACGAACATCTAATTTTACTGAAAATCAAGAAGCAAAACATGCGCAGAGTTTTGTTTTTCTTATTAACAAGTAGATATCTGATTCAATACATACCTACTAGTTTAGCCAATTCTGTTGTGCACTAGAAGTCACCAAAATCCCTTAATTCTCCTGTAATGAATCACACAAGCTCCAAAATCTTATTACTGCAACAATGTAAACAGAACCAGTAACACTATAATCTTAAAAAAAGAATGGAGATCGAGAGTGGCAGAAGTTGAACCTGAGACAAATCATTGTACACACTCGAGTTCTCTTCTGAAGCTCCAAATGTTATATATGCACAAAAGACTCAAAAGATGGAGTTATTCACGAAACCATAAACTCCAACAAGGAAAATGCTTGGGAAGATTATAAGTAAAAGAGGGAAGGGACATTCACCTGATCAAAGTGGAAATTATATAATCCGCAAACCTGATTTTCTGTATATCCCTATTAAGAATCAGTCACTAAAAGATGTGGTTAGAACACAATGAGAGAAATCAGATTGATTCATTCTTTAATGGCGAAGAGATGTACATAACAAAAAAACTTACCATTAGAACAACGCAAAACTCTTAACATTGAGTTAGAAGAAATCAGATTCTTGTAGTATACAAATATCTGAATATTTTAAACGTATTGTCTAAATTCAGACGATCATATATGTTCTTTCTCTCATCACACTCTCTCTTTCCCTTTAGTGCCTTGCCCGACCTCGACCCATCAAGCGTTGCACAATGATGTGCCTTCGCTAACAAGAAGAGCTTCAAGAGCTAGGCTCAGAGGATTAAAAGTTCTGAACTTATGATTCTCGGGACATGATTAGACAAACCTTTAATAAAGGCATGCAGAATCTGAAGTTTATACTGCTTTTTCTTCCATCAATTTGCAGATTATATATGTTCTTTCTCTCATCTCCCTCTCTTTCTCTTTAGTGCCTTCCCCGAACCTAGACCCATCAAGCGTTGCACAATAATGTGCCTTCACTAACAAGAAGAGCTTCAAGATAGGCACAGAGGATTAAACGTTCTGAACTTCTCGGTACATGATTTAGACTAACCTTAATAAAGGCAAGCAAAATCTGCAGTTTAGACTGCTTTTTCTTCCATCAATTTGCAGATTATATATGTTCTTTCTCTCATCTCCCTCTCTTTCTCTTTAGTGCCTTCCCCGAACCTAGACCCATCAAGCGTTGCACAATAATGTGCCTTCACTAACAAGAAGAGCTTCAAGATAGGCACAGAGGATTAAAGTTCTGAATTTATGATTCTCGGGACATGATTTAGACTAACCTTAATAAAGGCATGCAGAATCTGAAGTTTATATTGCTTTTTCTTCCATCAAATTGCAGATTATATATGTTCTTTCTTTCATCTCCCTCTCTTTCTCTTTACTGCCTTCACCGAACCTCGACCGATCAAGCGTTGCACAAGGATGTGCCTTCACTAACAAGAAGAGCTTCAAGATAGGCACAGAGGATTAACAATTCTGAAGTTATGATTCTCGGGACATGATTTAGACTAACCTTAATTAAGGCATGCAGAATCTGAAGTTTATACTGCTTTTTCTTCCATCAATTTGCAGATTACTGAGAGTTTCATGTGCTGCCCCCATCCATACAACTTATTTTCCCAATCGGAGATCACTAGAAAAGTCTTATAAAAGACAATTTATCCCCATCAATAGGCAGATCATTGAGTTTTAAAGCAGAAACTGAATTTATCATTAGAAAAGTCTTAAGAAAGACAGATCTTTGCAGAAAGTTGAAGTTAATATTATGCTGCCCAGCCAGCAATATATATAAGATAATTGCAGAGATTCAACTATCCAACCTATGAACATAATGTGCAAGCTTTACTCAGGGACGTATATATCTCTGTTTCAATCACACCTTGTTTGTCTTACTTAGTTAGGCAACATAGGGACACCTGAATTTCTCATTAGCCAAGTCTTCTAAAAGACAACATATCTCCATCAATAAGCAGATCATTGAGTTTAAAGCAGAAACTGAATATATCATTAGAAAAGTCTTAAGAAAGACAGATCTTTGCAGAAAGTTGAACTTAATATTATGCTGCCCAGCCAGCAATATATAGAAGATAATTGCAGAGATTCAATCATCCAATCTATGAACATAATGTGACAAGCGTTACTTAGGGACATGTATATCTTTGAGTGTTTTCATCTGCTGTCCCCATCCTTACAACTGAGTTTCCCAATCGGACATCATTAGACTAGTCTTATAAAAGACAATTTATCCCCATCACTAAGCAGATCATTGAGTTTTAAAGCAGAACAATGAATTTATCCTTCACAGGACATCATTAGAAAAGCCTTAATGAAGGCAGATCTTTCCAGAAACTTGAAGTTTATGTAATGCTGCCCAGCCAGCAATATGTAGAAGATAATACGACAAGTCTTACAGAGTCAATCACATCTTGCTTGCCTTATTATCATCATTAGAAAAACCTTAATATATGAAGACTTGTCATATATAAGATAATCTTTGCAGAAACTTGAAGTTTATGTTATGCTGCCCAGCCAGCAACATGTAAAAGATAATCGCAATCTCTGAACATAAGCTGACAAGTCTTACAGTGTTAATCACATCTTGCTTGCCTAAATATGTAGAAGAAAATCGCAATCTTTTGAACACAGTTTGACAAGTCTTACAGTGTCAATCACATCATGCTTGTCTTACTTAAGGATAATCTTTTAATATAAGTTGACAAGTCTTACGGTGTTAATCACAGCTTGCTTGTCTAAATATATAGAAGATCATCGCAATCACTGACCACAGTTTGACAAGTCTTACAGAGTTAATCACATCTTGCTTGTCTTACTGAGGTACAATATTCCCAAATTAGAAACGGGACAGAGCACAATCATATAATGTGTCGTCCCTTTCTTATGGGTTTGAAGTTTATATAATGCTGCCCAGCCAGCAAATATATTGAAGATTATGACAATCTTTTGAACATAGTTCGACAAGTCTTACAGTGTCAATCACATCTTGCTTGTCTCAATATATGAAAGATAATCACAATCTTAAGAACACAGTTTAACAAGACTTACAGTGTTAATCACATCTTGCTTGTCTTACTGAGAATCTTGAACCTTCGCCAGCAGCTACCCCGCTTGCCTGTAAAGGAAACCTTCAGTCCAAAGAAATCACGAATCTAAAAGAGGGGTTTTGATTAAAAAAAACCTAATTCGTAACAAATAAAGGTTAAATCTTTCAAGAACACAACGATAAAAGAGGGTAAAACCCTAAATCGTTACAAATAAAGGTTCAATCTTTGAAGAACACAACGATAAAAGAGGGTTTTTGGTTTCGCGAAATTAATAAAAACAAAAAGTCTGAAACTTTAACAAAATTAAAACCCTAAAGAGATTGCAGAAAGAAAGAATTTGAAATCAAACAGAGTTTTTGAAGTCAAATCGAAGTTTGTAAATCTGGGAAAGAGAGATTTCGAAACCGAAGAAAACCCAAAATCACGCAATCAAAAGAAGACTTTAGATTTGCAGTAAACAAAAGAATCTATAAAAACCCTAAACAATTCAATACCTGACGATGATGGTTCTTCGGAGAAACTCAAAGAACGAAACTCAAAGAACGCTCTCTAGTGACCGTTGTGATTTGAGATTTTGTGATTTGGGATTATAATGAGCAAGAAAGAGCAACAAAAGCGTAATATAGAAGAAGAAGAGCTATTCTGTCCGTTGTGATTTACAAATACGTCGGTCTAAGTTTTTTTTATTTGGGCTTAAACGAACTGAAGCCCATATCTTTTCATTAGCCCATAGTTGTTAACAGGCTGAAAATATGTGTTTTAGTGGCCCTTTAATGTAAATTTCGGTTTATTTGAGGGTCTTTGCAATCAATTTTAAAAAAATCTGTATTTTTTTAATTTTCTCACAAGGTCGCCTTTGCAGTTTGCAATCATTTTTTCTTGTCTTCTCCATATCTCTCCTATGGTCTTTTCCTTAAAACCTTAAAACCCTCTCGTAGTCAGATTGGTCTATCAATGGGAGAAGCCTCAACTACCGTTTTCTAGTAGCCCATCTTTTGAAAAATTCACTTTTGGCTTTTTCTTTTGCTCTTATGCTTGTACTGTAATTTAACAAGAAGCCAAGGTTTTCCAATGGCGATTAGAGTTTCATTACAACAAACGGCAGTCAAAAGCTGTTTCCATGTCTCAAAGTATTCGTCTTTACCAGTTAAGTCTCTTGTAAACCCTAAAGGATGCTCCTTTGCAAATGTTTCGACTGGTTTAGTTAGTTCTCGCCTTAGAAATGTTGAGTAAGATTGAATGTGTCAGAGAGTTTTCGAGTTTTGATTCTCAGAGGTTTGGCCCAAAACGAAGTAGTCGTATTAGTAGCAATAGAGGGAAGTCTAGATTTGAATCGAAAGCTTTCCGAGAGAAGAGAAGAGAAGTCGCGGTAATGGCCACTCTAGTGGAGATTCGATTTGGGTGAAATCTGATGAGAAACCAGTGGAAGATAGGTTTCAGAGAGGTAATAGGCTTTCTTGGGAGAAACGAGATGGTAGAAATGATTCTAGTTCTGATAGGAGAAGTAGAGTCAGAGGTTATGGTGATGAAATCGTTGAAGAAGAACCAGATAACACTAGGTGGTCTGAGATTAAAAATAGGTTCAATAGATATGATGTAAGAGAGAAAGGTCGTGACAATGCAGCATATCGAAACTGGAATAGGCAAGAGAGCTGGGGTAGGAAAACATGGCAAGAGGCGACTGAGTCCAGTGTCCCTAGGCTGGAGGGTGAAGTTTTTTATGGAGTAAGTCCAGTGTTGGCTGCACTCTCTGTTGGGAGACGAGAGTTCTATGCTCTCTATGTTCAAGAAGGTTTAGATTTGAGCAGTAACAACAAGAAGAAGAAAGACAAGAAAGGGTTCGAGAAAGTCTTGAAAATCTCTGAAAAACTTGGGTTAAACATCTGAGGAAACTTCAAAGCATGATCTTAACATGGTCTCTGATAAAAGACCGCATCAAGGATTGGTGCTTGATGCTTCACCGTTGGAACTGGTGAAAGTGAAAGAAGTAGATCCGATTTCATCTGAGAATAACGCTTTTAGTAATACTACTTTTGATATCGTTTTTATGATTAGTAACCGCTTAAAGCGGTACACTCCATACCAAAACGGTATAAGTTACCAATTACAGTCACAGAGAAACAACATGTTACATGATTTTTATTATGTATTTGGTAAGTGTCAAATGAATATAACTTGTAATTTATTCTTGTTGCCATTATTCATTAACTTAATTTTTTCTTCCAAATCTTATTAATCACCAAATTAAAGAATAAAGCAAATGGTAGCTCAACAATATTTAGCTTACTATAATAGTAAGCATTGTACCGACAAATTCAGCAGCAAGGCATATAAAGATGTTTTGGTTGAACCAAAGCAAGAAGTACCGTAAAAGAGAGTACTTTGGTGGATAAACAAACCAAAGAAATGATGAAGCTTTATTTTTATTTTTTTGTTAATCAACAAAAGTATGGTTAGACTTAGATGAGAATCGAATACCCAAAGCATCTGGTAACCTAACCCATCAATAACACAGAAGCTGATTCTGTACTGCACAAAGAGTCAAAGACAGAGAGAAGTGCACTTACACAGTTCTTGGAAGCTTCTAAATACTATATACAAGGCTCCACCATAATTAGGAAGTGAACAAACAATGGCACGTAGAAAGGGTATAACAAATAGTTACGCATCTGTCTTCTACTAGAGATGGGTGTCATCAGATCTCTAAAAGCTTTCCCTCATTGTTCTTGTTGAGTAGCTTTGACACTACATCTGAAAGTCATGAATTCATACTAGAGAGTGAGATATTGCAAGTGCTCTTTGACTAAGAGCTAATCGAAAAAATGACAAAAGACCATCACATGATCTGGTATCAACAATTTAAACAGAACCCTTTAGTCCTTAACACAAACATTCATTACGAAAGAAAGAAACATGAATTTGTTGTGCTATATAATATATGCTCATAACTCTAGCATGATAGTCAACTCGATTAGATTGAAAATCATAAAGAAAGCTTCAAGATTTTCAATCCAAACTATCGTATGACCATCGTGTGAGAAGCATTCTAGTCAAATGTCAGATGCCAATGACAAACAATATGATAATACTATAAGAAAAAGATTCAGTTATTTGATAGTTACAGAGCGCTCAATTCTTTCACTGTCTATTAGCAAAGCCAAAACTTCTTCTGCATATGAACAAAGCAAAAACGTCTTAAAGTTTCAGGTCTGTATCAAGAAGCTTTTGCTTTTCACAGTGAGCATACTCTTTGACAACTAATTTCAAAGAAGGTTTCCACAACCTACAGGATACTACCCAATGTATATCTAGTAGCTTTCTCGTTCAAATTCATTTCTAAATCATCAGCAGCATAGACCCAAATGCAAAACAGAGAAACCTAAGTTACAATCTGAAACAATCACAAGCAGGGACGTATAATCGTTCTACCCTCTAAAACGGCTTCTAGAGCTGTTGGAAAAAGGGAGGGGGGGGGGGGAGGAAAAGATTACCTGAAAATTGCAGCTCCGCAGTTAACAATCACGAAACCTCAAACTAATCCGTGGAATTCTCAAATGCAATAGTCAGAAGGCAGCAGACTTTATAGAATTTAACAAAATTTAAGAAACCAAAACAGATATAATAGCTGTTATTATTGCATTGCCTCAGCAAATATGTTTTACCAAAACTCTCATACTCAAAATATTTGACTAAAATCGAAAACAAGAATGAATATAGAAACCATATTATCTATAAAAGATTTCCTAATTGGCAAAGCTAGACTCAAATTCAATCATACTAGTCTACTAGAGCTTACTGAAGAATGAGGATTTATAAACGAGAGTGTCCTTAGAGTAATAACATCATGAGACATTCATTAAAACTGTTCTGATCTTCACATAGAAGAGAAGAAGAAATAGGAAGATGGCTTATATAAGTCCAACGGGTAAATCTCATCCACCATCAAAATCCAGCTTATAAGCCATCTTACTAGTCCCTTTTCCTCTATATCATAAACTCACACACCAACACTCTATTACTCCACTTCTTCCCTGCACATAACAATCACCAAAGCTTAAAACTTAGCTGTCTACAAACAATATTCCAAAACAGCTACAACCAGAATCCCCAATTCCAATAGTCATTAACCAGAAAAGTTACAATCTTTACAAACCAAAACAGAGATTTTAGCTACTACCATCAAATTCAACCATTTTGGATTGTTATTCTCACACTTGTAACCACATAACAATCACCAAAGCTTAAACAAACTGTCTACAAAAATACTCCAACACATATACAACTAAAATTCTCACTTTCAATAGTCAATAACCAGAAAAGTTACAAACTTTACAAACCAAATCAGAGATAATACCAACTATCATCAAGTTCAACCGTTTTGGATTGTAACTCTTACACTCAGAATCACATATGTACATAACCTAGTAAAGTAACACTCACATTCAAACTAAACCAGTCCCACTCCGGACCTTACCGGAGACAAATTCATCATAAAACCGGCGACGGTAACGGTGGAGCAAAGCAAAATGTGATGATGAGTTGGTGGAATAGGTCTTCCCATGGAATCACGAGAGGATCACGTGAGATATGGTGGTCCCTTATCAAAAAGAATCCAACGGCTAAGAATAAAGCAGACTGTTTCTCTTAATTATCTCCAACCGTGAAAAATAAAAATCAGATTTTTTTATTTTTTATTTAGTATATTTTTTTTTAACCAGGGCTAGGGTTTTCAGATTTCACTCTTTGTCTTTGTAAGACTTGAGCAACTATATAAACTCAACTTTTCTCAATCACTATCTGCTGCGGTCTCGCCGTGCTGCCCACAACAATCTCCGACTTCGTCTTCTCTATCATCATCGTCGTCGCTTCCTAATTTATCTCTCTTTCTCAATTTATCCCTAATTTATCATAAAAACCAAAAAAAAAACCTCAAAAATCTTCACTTTAGGTCTTTTTTTGTGTTCTTTCTTCTCTCAAATCCCCCAAAACATGGCTCAGGTTCAAGCTCCTTCTTCACATTCTCCTCCTCCTTCGGTTAACGACGGGGCTGTGGCTTCTGCTACGGCTGGAATCGGTGGCGGCGGCGGCGATGGAGTCAATCACGGTGCTCTCTGTTCTCTCTATGTCGGAGATCTGGATTTCAATGTTACGGATTCTCAGCTTTATGACTATTTCACCGAGGTGTGTCAGGTCGTATCTGTTCGTGTTTGCCGTGATGCTGCTACCAATACTTCTCTTGGCTATGGTTATGTCAACTACAGCAACAGCGAAGATGGTTTGTGCCCTAAATTTTTCTCCTTTTTAATTGGTAACATATTGACATTGTGTCAAAGATCTGATTTTTCGATTCTGTAATCAGTCCTCTGGCTAATTTGAGTAATGGGTATTGTTTGATTTGGTTTATATATGTAATTTGCACGATTCTGAATTCTTTGTTAGGCCAATGTTAGATGGTTCTCTGATTGTGTTTTAGGGATTGTGTTATTACTTTGCTTTGGTTGAGTGAGTCTGTTTTAAGTTTTTCTGTTTGTAATGGCAGCGGAAAAGGCATTGCAAAAGCTGAACTACACTAGTCTCAATGGCAAGATGATTCGGATTACTTACTCTTCTCGTGACTCTTCTGCTCGTAGAAGTGGTGTTGGCAACTTATTTGTCAAGGTATTTCCTTTTTTGAATCATCTAAGCAGTTTCTCTTTCTGTTTGATTGGCTAATTATGTGACCTTTTTTCTCAATGTGAAGAATTTGGACAAGTCAGTTGATAACAAAACTCTGCATGAGGCGTTTTCCGGGTGTGGGACTATTGTGTCCTGTAAGGTTGCTACCGATCACATGGGTCAGTCCAGAGGATATGGGTTTGTGCAGTTTGATACTGAGGATTCAGCTAAGAATGCGATTGAGAAGCTGAATGGAAAAGTATTGAATGATAAACAGATTTTTGTTGGACCTTTTCTCCGTAAAGAGGAAAGAGAGTCTGCTGCTGATAAGATGAAGTTTACCAATGTTTATGTGAAGAACCTATCGGAGTCGGCTACAGATGATGAGTTGAAGACTACTTTCGGTCAGTATGGTAGTATTTCGAGCGCAGTGGTTATGAGGGATGGAGATGGGAAATCCAGGTGTTTTGGATTTGTCAACTTTGAGAATCCCGAAGATGCTGCTCGTGCTGTTGAAGCCCTCAATGGGAAGAAGTTTGATGACAAAGAGTGGTATGTAGGTAAAGCTCAGAAGAAGTCTGAGAGGGAACTTGAATTGAGCCGAAGATATGAACAAGGCTCAAGGGATACAGGAAACAAATTTGATGGTTTGAATTTATATGTTAAAAACCTTGATGATACCATCACTGATGAGAAGTTGCGCGAGTTGTTTGCTGAATTTGGTACTATAACTTCCTGCAAGGTCAGAATTGTTGTTTTCCCGTACACAACAGCCATCAGAAATACCTTTTTTTTTGTCGCTTGATTGATTGGAATATCTAACGTTTTGTCAAATAGGTTATGAGGGACCCTAGTGGTACTAGCAAAGGATCAGGATTTGTTGCTTTCTCAGCTGCCAGTGAAGCTTCTAGAGTGGTAATTTAAATAACCTTGTGGCACGATGATATTAAATTTGTTTTGAGCCTCTATTGTATTTCTTGATTCGTTTCGTTTTCCTTTGTTTTGTTTTCCCGCAGCTGAATGAAATGAATGGTAAAATGGTTGGTGGCAAACCGTTGTATGTTGCTCTTGCTCAGAGGAAAGAAGAAAGAAGGGCTAAGCTGCAGGTAACAATTCCTTCCATAGATTATAAACAACCTACCTGGAGCGATTTTTGTTTAGTCCATTTTCATATTTCCCTTATGGCCTTGTTTTAGGCACAGTTTTCTCAGATGAGACCTGCCTTTATACCCGGTGTGGGTCCTCGGATGCCAATATTTCCGGGTGGTGCTCCAGGTCTTGGACAACAGATTTTTTACGGTCAAGGACCTCCACCAATCATCCCTCACCAGGTACCACTTTTTTTCGAGGCTGAAGCACTCTCTAACTCGGTTTGATTATGACTTAATCTGTTGGATGGATGAGTCTTTTTATCAATAACCACTCCTCTGATTTTCTTATACATGTGATAGCCTGGATTTGGATATCAGCCTCAGCTAGTTCCTGGAATGAGGCCAGGCTTTTTCGGCCCAATGATGCAGCCAGGTCAGCAAGGTCCACGACCAGGTGGCAGACGGTCAGGTGATGGACCTATGCGCCATCAGCATCAGCAGCCAATGCCTTATATGCAGCCACAGGTAGTTAAAAGAAAAAGAGAGCATTTTAAGCATGTCTTCAATCCTAGATCGAGATGAATCTATAAGCCTTTGTTTTCTTCTGTCCACTAGATGATGCCCAGAGGACGTGGGTACAGGTACCCTCCTGGTGGTAGAAATATGCCTGATGGTCCAATGCAAGGAGGAATGGTTCAAGTTGCTTACGACATGAATGGAATGCCTTTTGGTCAGCCATTGTCCGCTAGTCAATTAGCTTCTTCCCTTGCTAACTCATCACCTGCTCAACAGAGAACAGTAAGATTCTCTGTCAATATATATATCTAGTTGCCACACGGTGTAGAAGAAGAATAAGTCCACTTACATTCTCTGTGTTTGCTTTGGGGTTTGTGTAGCTTTTGGGTGAGAGTCTATACCCATTAGTGGACCAGATAGAACACGAGAACGCTGCAAAAGTCACCGGTATGCTTCTGGAAATGGATCAGACTGAAGTTTTGCATCTGCTCGAGTCACCAGAAGCTTTGAATGCTAAAGTTTCAGAGGCATTAGATGTGTTGAGAAACGTGAATCAGCCACCATCAACACAGGTGAGTGAAGGCAGCAAAAGTGGAAGCCCAAGTGATCTGTTGGCTTCACTTTCAATCAATGATCACTTATAAGAAGCTTTTGTTTGAGTTTTTTTTTTTTTTACTTTTGACTCTCTCCTTCCCTCTCCCTTTCTCTGATTGACAAATTTTTGCGGGAATCTATTTGCTGTTTTAGACTTTTGCTTCCCTTATGATTTGCTTCTGTTTTGGTTTGTTACTTTTTTGGGTTGACTTAAAAAAGGATGGTTTTTATTTTTTTGGATTATAATTTACTATTGCAAGTCAACTAAACGTAATCTTTTCTTTCTTATTTATAATTTCCACGTCATACCAAAGTGAGAAAGTAATGAAATTGGGATATTAATTCATTGGGAAAATTCCATAAAAATTCCCCATCTAATTTTAATTTGGAAGTTTAATACCCAATGTTATTTGATTGGAAACAAAATACATGGTTTATTAATTTGTTGTCTATTAATACATCAACTATATAAAAATTGTCGAATCGAAAAAACCGCTTAACAAACGATACTCGGATTGACGGAATCACTAAACCGGGGTTAATGGGATTGACGGAATCACTAAACCGGGGTTAATGGGATTACACTAAACATAGGGTTTATCGATCCCAATTCGATTTGGGGTAATAGCAAAGGACAATGCAGTCTTTGGATAACCCCAAATTACTCGTGTGTTTAGGGATTAGTGATTTCGTCAACTTCGGTTTAATGATTCCGTCAATCCGATTAAGCAATTTATTTGATTCGACAATTTTTATATACTTAATGTATTAATAGACCAAAATTTAATAAACCATGCATTTTATTTCCAATCAAATAACATTGGGTATTAAACTTCCAAATTAAAATTAGATGGGGAATTTTTATGGAATTTTCCCTTAGTTCATTAGCTAACTTGAGAATTACAAATCTACTATAACACTAGAAAAAATTTGTATTTAGCATCGTTAGTCCCCTACTATTCTTTTTTAAGAAAAAAATTCTCAACATTTTTTGGGCATCGAGAATTTGAGACTTTACTTTCAGTTGCTAAACATAATTTTCATTCGGTGAAAAATCAAAGTATGGTTTCAATAGTATTCGAGTTTGTGAAGAAGATTAATTTGAATGGAAAAACTAACGTGAATAGGATAATGGTCACTCTTACATTTTGTACAAAATTTGTGATAACGCGACATTCAACACCATATATTACGATCTTAGTCTTCATCTTATTTGTGACCCATATTTGTGTGATTATAAATCTTATTAAATTTTTAAATAAAAAATATTTTTAATTATATATTTGATTTTAAAATTAGAAAAAATAGTTTAGACAATGTGTAAATGAGTATATTCGAAAATAATTTTTTTTTGTCAAATTTGAACGGTAGTTCAATCTCTTTCCTACTTTATCATCATATTCACAGATATGATCCGATAATTCGAAAATCAAATATTATCTTGTCTACCGTCTATAGGTAAATATATACACATAAAAAGAAGTCTTCCCATAAGGGAATAAATATGTTTTCTTTTCTCTAAGAGTCTTACAAATTCAAGAATGAATTTGTAATTTTAACAAAATTAATTCATTGATCATGCAAATTTTGCAATCGATCCAATCTTAATCATCAATCAATCAAAATGTGGGAATGAAGTAAATATCTAATATGAAGCTCTAATATCAAAAATGATCATGTTTCCCATTTGTCATAATGTATTTTTGTTATTATGCATCCAGTAGTAAAATCATTCTTGGTTATATTTAGTTTTTCATATGGCTTTGCTATTAAGCATAACACTTGTATTTTTTATTAGTTCATATTTTGCTTTAAATTTTAATTTAATTATATATGTATATTTTTAATGCTAAAAGCATTTTTATCGGTGTAGATACAATAAGAGCATCTCAGTAATATTTTTAATATAATTTTGTTATTAAATTAAGTGTTAAGTGGTGAAAAAGACTAATATAATACTATTAAAACATTTAGTTTAGACGAATTATCTTGTTTTCTCAAACAAGAGAGGATTCTCATTCTCTCTGCTCATTTAAAAAAATAATAAAATTATTTAATTGGTGAGAGATGTTTTTTTGAGGAGATGCTCTAAGATATTAACGAGAGGTTAAGGGGGAGTTATTGGGAGAATGATTTTTAAAGAGTTTTAGAGTTTTATATTCTATTGTTATTGGTTTATAAATTTTAATAAGATCTCTTGTTATTGGTGTATGTATTTTGTAATTCTAATTAAAAGTTGAGTATTTATTGATTTTCCAAATCTATCAAATTCTAGTGTTATTGGAAAAGTGATTCCTACATATTTGGTCATTAAAAAAAACTTACAAAATACTGCACTTATCATGAGTATTTGTAAAATCTATCATTTGAAGAATCTACTAAACTCTAAAAATTTGGGTAAACATTATTTTAGAATCTACAAATTTTGTTAAGAATCTTAAAATCTTTAAACTTTTGGATACACATATACAAGAAAAGTGAATTAATTTAGCATATAAATAAACGTCTAAAAGAGAAAGAGAAGTAAATTTGGTAAGAAAGTTTAATTAAAGATTCAACTTAGATTGAATTGACACTAATTTGGACTGATGAGTGTGATTGCCTCTATAAAGATCAAAAGTAAGTTATATAGTAATGTTTATTCATATACAAAGATCGTTCACCTAACTTAGTTGCCTAATTACATCTTAAACTGGACCCATAATGTGAAGTCCTTTCTAAACAAAGAAGGCGTAAGGCTTGTTAATGAAGTGATTAGCAAAAAAAGCTATCTTATAAAGCTAATTAGCAAAATAGTCGCTTGATCACAAAACATGTCCAAACAAACCCATCAAACAAGATTCATATAGAAGTTATCAAACATTAGACAAGTGACAACTACTGTATTTTGTTGTTGGATTTAGAATACTAATTTTATTAGTTGTTGAAGTCAATTTAAAATCTAAAAGAAACCAAACCACTTTTATCTCTTTTAAGACAGAGATAGTAAGGTAAACTACAACACAAATAACACTTTTCATAAAGTTTTGATTAGATTGCACACTTAACTCAATTAATTATTCATTAAGCATAATAAAGCATTCTTACTAATTTCACTAAATCACTCTTTCTCCATTTGTCCTCTTCACTCACTACTAACTTATTACACTTCCGAGGTCCATCAAAGTCATAAACATGTTTCCCATAAAATACCAAATTTAATCTCTTTGCTTGTAGCATTAGTGAGTTAATATTATAAATCTCGTACGATCCAACGTTCATTAAGCGTACGTGGCCCATTTCGATCAGATCCTACCCGACACATCCTCTCTCTTTCTCTGCTCTCTCTCTACACAGTCTCTCACTCTATCTCTCTCTCTCTACAGTTGTTTTCAAGTAATCTTAACTTTGCCAAAGAATCCCTTTTCTTCTCTTAACCCTTTTCATTGTCCTCTTCACTCTCTCCTCTGTTTTTAATCTTCTCCATTGTTGTGGTTCTTTGAGAGGATCTGTTAAGTTTTGGTTAAAGAAGGTGAGGAAAGTTTTGATTTTTATTCATGGGTTTTGTTTTTTTTGTTACCAAATCTTCTAAAATCTAAATGTGGATAAAGAAAAAAGATGACTTTATTTGTGATTCGTCATGGGTTTCTCTTAAAGTTTTTACCTTTATGAAATTGGATTTTTCTTCTTTTTTGTGTATTATAGTGCATGTATAAGCCATTGATGTAAGAGCTTAGCTCAAAGCCTTTCTCTTTTATGCATTTTTAGATTCATGATTTCGGATTTTTACAGTGAGAAGGGTTTTGTTTTGTTCTTTGTTCTCATTCTGGATTTGAGTCGCATTCCTATATGTTGTGGTCCATTTGAGTAATGTGGGATCGGAGAAATCAAACAAAACAAGACACAATATATGTTATAGGATCCTTTTGTTTTGTTTATGGAAATGAGTGTTTGAAAGCTTTTCTAAAGTCTTTCTATTTCTGTGTTATAGGATATTGTTGTCAAAGATTCAAGATTAGTTTGTGTGTGGTTTGTTGGGGGGTATTAAATGGATCATAAAGCATGGCCTTGGAAGAAGAAATCAATGGAGAAAACGGTTGTAGAAAGCAATGGAGAGGTAAGTGGATGTGATGATCATGGTTACATTTATGCTTTGATGTTAGGTTGGAAGATGGATCTTCTTTACTCATTTATGGTTACTAGTTAGTAGTTAGTATCAGACTATGATCTGTTTTGATACTCTCTAGTGTTGCATAGCTTAGCTTGTTTATTATGTTTGAGTTAAGGCTTATCCTTTTTGATGCTCTTTTTGGCAAAAGTAAAAGCCCTCAAGCTTTGTAATGAGAAAACTGAAGATACCAATGAATGTGAATCTTGTGTAATAGTTAAAAAACTTTCCTGATGAGTTTGGTTTTGTGGCGCCTGATTTTAGCTGTATTTGTTGATTAATGAGCTTGATTGTTCTTAATATTAGACTGAGAAGGTTGTGGCTGAGAAGATAGAGCTAGAAAATCGCGTTAAAAGTCTGAATGATAAGCTTACCTCTGTCGAAGCTGACAGTAATAAGCATGAGAGTGCGGCACAAGAGGCTATTGTTGGTATACTTACTGAATTTTAATCTCGAGTTTTTTCCTCTTTACGCTATCATGTAGCTTTCTGTTTCATTTTTTATTTATGTTAACAGGCTGGGAGAAGACAAAAGCTGAAGTAGCATCTCTCAAGAAGAAACTCGAAGAAGCTTTAAATGAAAAACGCAGGAGTGAAGAAAGGTCGAGTCAAACAGATGCTGGTCTAAAAGAATGTATGCAGCAACTTCGTTTTGTTCGCGAGGAGCAAGAGCGAAGGATGCATGATGCGTTGACAAAAACATCACAGGAGTACGAACGGAGATTGGTTGTTGTAAAGACGGATTTGGCAGGTACTGGTAAGAGGCTTGCAGAAGCAGAAGGCGAGAACACTCAACTCTCAAAGGCTTTGTTAGCAAAGAATAAAACTGTTGAAGATTTAAACAGAGAGAGGGATCGTATCGAGGTTGATTTCAATGCTTTAGTGAGTAGTTTAGAGTCGAAGGAAAAAGAAAACGTTTCGCTGAGATATGAAGTCCGAGTGCTAGAGAAAGAGCTCGAGCTTCGGAATGAAGAGAGAGAGTTTAGTCGTCGAACAGCTGAAGCATCACATAAACTGCACTTAGAGAATGTGAAGAAAGTTGCAAAGTTAGAATCAGAGTGCCAAAGGTTAAGGATACTTGTCAGAAAACGGTTACCAGGACCTGCTGCTCTGTCCAAAATGAGGAATGAAGTAGAAATGCTGGGAAGGAGAAGAGTCAATGGAAGCCCTAATAGTCCACTGATTGATTCCGAAAAGATCAATAACCTCTCTGAGCAATTATGCTTACTGGAGGAAGAGAACAAGACTCTAAGGGAAGCCTTAAACAAGAAAGTCAGTGAGCTTCAGTTCTCAAGAAATATGTATTCTCGAACAGCGTCTAGACTACTAGAATTCGAATCTCATGTTGAAGAATCTTCTAAAGACACAAACATTGAGTCAAGACGGAGAAGCAATGTGTCATGTGAAGTCTCTATTGCATCACTATCAGAATTTGACAATGATGATAAAGTTAGCTGTGCTGATTCTTGGGCTTCTGCTTTACTTTCAGAGCTAGACAATTTCAAGAACAAGAAGCAAATGGGCTCGAGTTTGGTTGGAACCCCTAAAGCTTCAGAGATGAAACTAATGGATGATTTTGCTGAAATGGAAAAGCTTGCAATGGTTGCAAGCACTATCGACAACCGACCTGGAAGTTCTCATATTTGTTCTTCTGATTCCGTTTCAGCTACTGGTCCGGTAGAGAACGAATCTAATGAAACTTCATCAGAGACAACGAAAACTCCCGGAACAGACTTTTCATTAAATCCTGTCGCATCTCCCCAAGATGATTTAATGGGAATATTACCTCAATCTCTTCATGTTGTCGTGAAAGCGATAATGGAGCACAAGCTTCTCGCGCAGAGAAACACTGATGAAGTACTTGAAGATATCAGAAAAGCTATGTTAAGTGTAAACCATTCAACCTCCTCTGTGATAAACCATCAGGAGACCAAAAATCTCATTGTGGATGATAGAGTAGCTATGGAGTGTGATATCAGCAAATCGATTCACAGTATCATTGAAATTATCGAGGGAGTCAGCTTAAAAGATGATAGTCATGTGTCCAATGGAGAATCTGAAAGGCTTTCAGGATACACTGCTCGCGTCTTGCAATGGAAAACTACAGAGCTAAGTAGTAAACTGCAGCGATTTCTTCATACGTGTTACGATCTATTAGACAGGAAATCAGACGTGAAGAAGTTTGTAGAAGAGCTAAGCTCTGTGTTGGAATGGATAGTGAACCACTGTTTTTCCCTTCAAGATGTTTCCACCATGAGAAATGAGATTAAGAAGCAGTTCGAGTGGGATGAATCACGGAGCGGAAGTGAAGTTGATATTGGAATATTTCGTCAGGTTTCAGAAGCAGATAAGCTCAAAATAGAAGATGTTTCCTCTTTGGATCGCAAGAATCAGTCAATTGAAGACAAACCTGGCAATCAAAAGTTGCCAAGCAATATGACTGAAGAAGAGGCAAAAGACAAGACAGCAAGGTAAATGTGAAAGATTGAAGACTTCACTGTTAGCAAAATCATACATTTATATCTAATGCATCAAATGGTTTCTTGTTGCAGTGCTGCAGAGAACGAGCTCAAGCTGGACGAAAAACAAAACATGCGAACTGTAAGTTTAAAGCAGAACAAAACATTGAGAATTGCTTTTGCCCAAAACCAATCCGTTTTATGTGTTTAATGATTCAGGAATTGGAAATCACTGCTGCTTCAGAGAAATTGGCCGAGTGCCAAGAGACGATTCTAAACCTTGGAAAACAGCTCAAGGCATTGACTAACTCAAAAGAAACAGCTTCACTTTCTGACAAACTCATGTCTGCTGAAAACTCAGACAATCAAGCTGGTGAACAACCTTCACAAGAGACAAAACCAGAGAAGATATTGACTACCCAGAGATCATCTCTTTTAGATCAGATGAAGGCAGAAGATCACGACACCGGGGAATTAACGACCCAGAAACCGCAAGCAGCAGAGAAAAATGGAAAGGGAGGCAGTTCTGTTTACAATGAAACCATCGAGGCATTGGAACATATTCTTCTCTCTGACAAGAGCAAAGGCGCCAACACAAACGGTTTCGCCATTGTTCCTCAGAAAAAGAGCGGTGGAGTTAAGAGCCTCTGGAGAAAGCTGTTGGGGAGAAAAAAGAAAGGTCAGAGTAACAAGCTCCCTATTCCATTTGCCACCTAAGAAGATGGTCTCATCGAGACTATAATCTAATACCTTAATCCTGTTTCTCAATATGGTCCCAAACTATGCAAACTACTAAACTGTCATCTTCGTAGAATTTTTTGGCAGTATATATATAAATCTCCACGTAGATTTTTACCAAATAAGATGATCATGCTATTTTATTTTACTTTTAGTTCTAGAAAAGATACAATCAGTGATCTTGACTCAATGAATCTTTAGCAGGGTTAAAATAAATTTCCAACGTAGACACCAAATGAAAAGATCATTTGATATAAACTAATCTCATGTCTCAACGAACAAAATGTGACCTTTAAAAGAGACTTCTCAATCTCTGTACAGAACAAACTTGGCGATGTCGTTAAGTCCAGCTTCCTTGTAGCATTGAGCAACCCGATCCAGTGATTCTTCCCATGTCCCTTCAAGTGACGCTAGATTCAGTAAGAATGCAGCCTCGTCCAAATATGCCTGACAGTTGCAAGTTTTGTTTCAAGTCCTTTTATCCAGAAACATGATATGGGAATCTCAATATGACTACAGGCAAAGAACGGACCTGAGATATTGGCTTTCCCCTGTCTATATCTCGTTGTCTTCCTTCACCTGTGATTCTCTCTTTATACTTAACTATTTGCTCCTCTCCCCACTCTGCTATGTGAGCAATTTCCTGGGCAACCATTTCATATGTTCAACACCTTTTTCCCTTCTTTTTTTTTTCCAGCTATCAAAATGGTATAACAATATTCAAGGAATCGTACCTCGTATCTACATCCTAAGGTCCACCATGAAGATGTCAGAGCACCCCGAGCAGCGTCTTTCGCCTCTAAGCTACGGCCAAGTCTACAAAATCATAGAGGTCTTAGAGTTTTCTAAAAAGGACATAAGTATCTACCCATCGATCTATTAACAAGGGAGAAAGAGGGCTAATGAGAGAGGATCATACGAACTTCAGCAAAACTTTTGCGTTGAAAGCAAAAGGTCGGGCAAATCCTGGGAAGTTCCCTCTCTTTGTATAAAACTCAGCAGCCACCAAAGCTGAAACCTTGTATTAGCACGTGAAGATAGTTTAAAAAGAGAAAACAACTCAACTACAACAGGATAGATGTTATTACTAGCCTTACATGGTCTCCATTCTCGATATGTCTAATAACTTTACGTTCTAGGGAATCTGGAAACAGTCCAACCTGAGTGACATAGCTCAAAATCATCCACATGCCAAAAAGAGTCTGAGATTAATAGGTTCACGAACGATATGTACCTTTCTTAATAGATAGGCATCCAAATCCATCGGTCTTGACTTGGCAAAGTCACCCTTATTGTAAAGTTTCTTCCCAGCTTCGCCTGCAGCATTGAAGATTTCTTGACTTGATTCGTCGGGTTTAGAAATATCTTCTTCCACCAATATTCTGTGAATGAACTGATCAACCTGAATATTGGCCAATGAAATCAGATATGAGAATGATCAGCTACAACAAAATGACCCTACATCAAAGCATCAGTAACTATATAAAGACTCATTACATTATTGGCTAAAAACCAAACCCCATGTTTCTGAACTTCCACCACAGGCATCTCCATACTGCAAACACAAGAAACAATAATAAGATACAAAGCAAGAAAAATATGAAGATATAACCAGAAAAAAGCCTCTAACCTAGAAGGAGCTGTTGGCCACCGCAACAGAGCAATTGAAGAACCTGAAAATTGAAAGTCACACAATACAAACTCAATAAGAAAAGTGTCTCAAACTCAGGAAAAATAACTTATTGCACAGTCCATGATCATATTCATACCCGGACTCATTCTCACCAATGGAATAGTAAGAGGCAACAAGCCTTGCTTGGCACCAGGAGAAGCTATGGATTTACCTAAGACAACGTCATTATCACAAGCCAAGTCACTAGTTCCGCAAATTACACACAATTACTTCGAATATATAATCACAAACCAAGCCAGTGTAAGATTGAATCTACCTCTAGCTATGAATATGTTCAGCAACTCAGTCAGATGCTTAGGAGGCTGAGCTTTTGCGACATCCTTAATGAAACACTCATGCTCTACAAAAACAGAATCAATCATCAAAAACTTCAATTCATTTGGTGCTTCAGTTCAATCTTCAACTCCGTAAGAATCAAAACCGATCTCGAGCCATTTCCAAAAAGTTGTGAATAGCGAATACTCACCAGATAATGGAGAAGTAGAAGAGGAAAAGGATCTCGAGAAGTTTCTTCTGCCTAGAAGTATCAGTCCACGTTTCCGTCCGTTCACCGCCGCGCCGTAATGCATCTTTTAAGAGTTTTTTTTTTCCGATCGCCGTACTGTTTCTCTTCCGATGAGAAACTTCGAGAAGCTGTTACAGGGAAGAGGTTGATTTGAGAAAGGAAAGAAAAAAACCCAAAAACAAAGCCCAAAATTTAGGTTTAAAGGCCCATTAGGCCCATCAACGTCCGTCTGTTGAATTAAAATAGAAACACTTGGTATCGTCGCCGGGTAAGTTCACCGGAGAACGACTTTTTCCGATGTACAGTACATAATTCAAATCGAGATGCCACGTCGCTGTTTTCCCACCAACTTATTTTTTTTTTAATAATTCAGGAAAAAAAATTGTAATTTTCACGATTCCCAATTCTTAACAACTGTCTTTTAAAAGTTGTATGAAAAATTTTCTAATTGGATTTGAGGATTAAAAAAAAAAAAAAAAGCAAAAAAAAAAAAAATTGAAGATAACTTTTAGGGTTTATAACGACCCGCCAAATTCTCTTGTCTCCTCCGACATTTTTCAGATTGTCGCGACCCGGAACTTGACCCGGACCCGCATTTTAATCGGTTCCGATCTGGTTACTTGACAATGGCGTCGGGAGCTTCGCCTTCTTCTTCGGCGACCAGATCGGAGCCAGCTAAGGAGTATACGGTGAGTTAATCTCACTCTCACTCGAAATCTCACAAATCGGGTCTTTGAAAGTTTCTATTTTTATTTCTGGGTTTCTAAAAGTCGTAACTTTTTCTTTGTGCTTTTGTGGCATTTTGACTATGATTTGATTTTCGTTTGACTAAAGAGAAGGGAACTTGATGGGTTGTTTTAGCTTTGGTTTGGTGTTTGTTTTGGATCTAGAGATTGCTGCATTTTGAGCTATACAAGTTCTCTAATTGAACAGATTGGAAATGAATATGGCCTGTGTAAAGGAACCTCATTTCCATGGTTGCTGTTGTAATGCGTTGGATTTCTTTGAAATTTCAGCTGGAGGAGAGAGGTCCAGCTTTTAAGGAAGTGTCAGCAGTAATAGAATCGCTAAAGAAGAAACTTGCAGCTGATAGGTGTATATCAATAAAGGTTGATATTGGTTCTTGTTTAATTTATGTATTTGTTGGTTTTGTGTTTCTGTATCTGATTTGCTAGAGACTGATAATTCGTTTTTTCATCAGAAAAGGATTGATGAAAACAAGAAAAATCTGTGTGGCATTACTCAAAGCTTTATGAGGTCGTCTATGGAGAGAGGAGGTAGCTGTGAAGATGGTAATGATCTTTTAGTTAAGAGGCAAAAAGATTCGCCTGGTATGAAAAGTGGAATCGATGCAAGTGATGCAGATAAGAATAACCACAGATTCGTAGAAGATGGACATGTCAATTCGGCGATGGTTCAAGGATCCAGTGTCCCTGTTAAAATTTCCTTACGCCCAATCAAAATTCCTGATATCAAACGTTTGTCACCTTATACCACATGGGTTTTTCTGGATAGGTACTTTGACATTAACGTCGCAAAAGTACTTGAAAGTATTCGAGTTGAAGTGTATGCTCTACCTTAACATCGTAATCACTCTTAAAATAATTCAGGAATCAGAGAATGACTGAAGACCAGTCTGTAGTGGGCCGAAGGAGAATATATTACGATCAAACTGGCGGCGAAGCACTCATTTGCAGTGATAGTGAAGAGGAGGTGATTGACGACGAAGAAGAAAAAAGAGAATTTTTGGTGCCTGAAGATTATATTATTCGGTTAGTCTGATCCTTTGTCATTGCTGTATACTTGAATTTTGATCTCTTATTCTGAACCTCTTGTTTGCATTTTTTAGTTGAAATGGCTTTTCGTTCTCACTTTCATTTCCCTTCATTTATTCAGCATGACCCTTGAGCAACTAGGTCTTGCAGACTCTGTCTTGGAGGAACTAGCAAATTTCTTGTCTAGAAGTTCTAGTGAAATCAAGGTACCAGCCACTTTTTTCTCTGTCTGTTGTCAGTATGAACTATGATGTCCTATTTTCTATTAGATACCAGAACTTCAAAACACAGTGAGTGATGCATCGTTTAAGAAAATCCAATTAGTATTGTTCCAGCCCTTTCCCAATTGGCTTTTTGCAGAGATATGAACACCGACCATCTTATACAGGCAAGACATGCAGTGCTTATGAAGGAAAAAGAAATATCCGAGAGTGGCTATAATCAAGCAGAGAGCTCCCTTCTCAACAAAGATATGGAAGGAGCATTAGATTCTTTCGATAACCTGTTCTGCCGTAGATGCCTTGTTAGTCCATTTGACTTCTCATGCCAAATTTTCTAAGGTTATTACTTTGATGTGCTAGCAAATAATTCTCATTTTAACCTTTTATGCTCCTATGCAGGTATTTGATTGCCGACTGCACGGGTGTTCACAGGATCTTATTTTTCCTGTGAGTTAGTGCCCAATGCAAATTCTTATTATAACTTTATTGTTACTTATGTTATTTTAATGGTTTTTTAGGCTGAGAAACCAGCTCCGTGGTGTCCTCCTGTAGATGAAAATCTAACCTGTGGTGCAAACTGCTATAAAACGGTAAAATTGTTATTCACGCAGCTAATCTCATCTTCTAGAAAGACTGATTTGACAAAAAGAACTGTTTTCATTCTATCAGCTTCTCAAGTCTCAGAGAATTCCGGGATACGGCACCACTGAATTTAAAACTGGCACTTCATCAGATTGTGCGGGTACTAAGACCACATCCACGAAGCTCTCCAGCAAACTTAGTAGGAGAAAACCAAAGACCTTCCCAAGTGAAAGTGCATCGTCTAATGAAAAGTGCACACCAGAAACAAGTGACTCAGAGAACGGACTTCAGCAGGATACCAATTCCGATAAAGTTTCATCATCACCAAAGGTGAAAGGTAGTGGGAGACGAGGAGGTCGTAAGAGGAACAACAACCGAGTCACTGAGCGAGTTCCTCGTAGGACTCAGAAGAGGCAAAAGAAGACAGAATCCTCTGATACTGATTCCATCGCCAGTGGAAGTCGCACACCTAGCGATGCAAAACTTAAAGAAAATGAAGATGCTACTTCATCTTCTCAGAAGCGTGTAAAATCTGGGAACTCGGGTAAGTCAAGGAAGAATGGCACCCCTGCAGAAGACTCCAAGAATTCTGTCAAGGATGATGATCTTGTTTGTCAGTTAAATGAGGTTGCTTCTGAGCTTGATGCACCGTGTAGCAATGAAAGTTTACGGAAAGAAGAGTTTGTGGGTGAAAATGTATGTCGAGGAGGATTGGCTACAACTAAGTTGTGGAGACCACTTGAGAAAAGCCTTTTCGAAAAAGGTGTTGAGATTTTTGGAATGAATAGGTGAGTAATAGATGCATTTAGCTATACCAAATTTTTCATTTCATTTCAGATTTTTCAATGTGTGGAATATAATCATCTTTCTTTGTTTCTTTGCAGCTGCTTGATTGCTAGAAATCTTTTGAGTGGTTTCAAGTCATGTTGGGAGGTCTTCCAATACATGACTTGTTCGGAAAATAAAGCTTCCTTCTTTGGAGATGATGCATTGAATCCTGATGGCTCTTCCAAGTTTGATATCAATGGAAATATGGTATGATACTTATTCTTTTTGTATACACATTCCTAATATAATGAATTTATTTTTCTTTGGGAACTAATGCTTTAGTTCCTGGACTAACCAGGCTAATAACCAAGTGAGAAGAAGGTCAAGATTTCTACGTAGACGAGGCAAAGTGCGTCGCTTGAAGTATACTTGGAAGTCTGCTGCATATCATTCAATTAGGAAAAGAATTACGGAGAGGAAAGACCAGCCATGCCGTCAGTTCAATCCATGCAACTGCAAAACTGCTTGTGGGAAGGAATGTACTTGTTTACTAAACGGGACTTGCTGCGAGAAGTACTGCGGGTATTGTAATCTATGATCATCCTCATCTGTATCTTCTAGCTTTGAATCTCATTGCTGGCAAACTTTTTCTCTGTGTAGTTGCCCAAAGAGCTGCAAGAATAGGTTTAGAGGTTGCCATTGTGCTAAAAGTCAGTGTCGAAGCCGTCAGTGTCCATGCTTTGCTGCAGATCGGGAATGTGATCCAGATGTTTGTAGGAACTGCTGGGTCATGTAAGTCTTATTGGTGATGCAAATGTTTACTCTTTGATCATGTGTTGCTAACTTTTCGCTTAGCAGAGGATCAAGAACACATTGTTACTCTTTTCGTTTTTAATAGTTCCAAATACAATAATACTATGTCTGAATGAATTTGCATGTGTAGTGGCGGGGATGGTACGCTGGGGGTCCCAAGTCAAAGAGGTGATAATTATGAGTGCAGGAATATGAAACTGCTCCTGAAACAACAACAAAGGGTACGTACTTGGCCTTGTTAACTATGTAGCAATATGAATTTGCTCCTGCAATCACACCAATCCATAAATAGCCAGTGCCATTATTCACATTCCCTTTTCCTTGGAAGGAATCTCCGGGGATTAGTACTGCTTTACTAAAGCATTCCCGAGTTCATGACGATGAGGAACTTTAAATGATTATAAATAATGTTTTTTTGTCATTTTCAGGTTTTACTTGGAAGATCTGATGTTTCTGGTTGGGGAGCTTTCTTAAAGGTAAAGAAGAATGCAAGATTTGTTAAAGAGAATGGAAGTCCTTAAAAGATGAAAGTACATTTGGAGTATTGATTTGCCTTAAATAACAAATCTTGTTCCTTCTTACAGAACAGTGTGAGTAAACATGAATACCTTGGGGAATACACAGGAGAGCTGATCTCACACAAAGAAGCAGATAAGCGGGGGAAGATATATGATCGCGAGAACTCCTCTTTTCTCTTCAATCTAAATGATCAGGCACGTCTCGTCTCAAAGATGTTTATACTCTCTAGGTTGTCTTCAAATTCAAATCTACCATAAACCAGAAACTTTCTTTTGGATGTATTGCAGTTTGTGCTAGATGCTTACAGGAAAGGAGACAAACTGAAATTTGCCAACCATTCTCCTGAACCTAACTGTTACGCAAAGGTAAAAAATGCATGGTAAAGACACGGTTTTCGCATGTTGGGTCTATTCTTTTTCTGCTCAAA